CAAATCTGCAGGTCAAGATTCTACGTCATCTTTTAATAGACATGGACTTAAACTATCCAAGTTGGTTCGACGGAGCTGTACAATAAGTTAGACTCAGAGCAAGAAAAGCTTCTCCAGAAGTTTATAAGTAACAGAAGCAACTATGGATCCAGACCCACTCCTGTTTGGAGAATGTTTGATATCAACGAAGATAATCAACCCAGAAAGTATGGACTATCTAGCACTTCGCTGCAAGATAAAGATATGTTTTCCCTGAACCTTGATTGGGAAGAAAGTGAACTGACGGAGTTACTAGATCTCTTAAAGAAGTTCAGTAAAATCATACTCAATGCGGAAAACACCAACATATCGAATCCTTGCGGCCCTGCTGGTTTATTAGTCCTATCCCAGCTCTTAACACTGTTCGAAAGCTCAGAGTTGAGTGCTACGAAGAAACCTCTTGAGATTCTTATCTCTTTGCCGGATATAACTTGCCCTTCTTCCGTGCTATCATTCAACAATGTTGATTTGCAGAGCCAGGACCACGAAAGGCAAAGATCTCCCAACTTATGAATGCCTAGCTATTAATACTAACCTTCCACAACGCAAACGACCGTCTAGCAGTCGCCTAAAGGTTTATGTTACAGGCCTTACTGAATACCTTCAATCCAATACTAACCCAATAGGATGGCATGAGCTTATGCACTTCATTAGAGGTGTCCGATGACATTTTAGTATTTCCATGGCCATGAGTTGGATATGGTTCATTGGCCAACACCGACAGAAGTACTTGAATAGGATGAGTTAGTATTGATTGGGTTAGTATAAAGGTAAAGGAGTTCTCTATTGGGTTAGTATTTGGATTGGTATGGGGTTATGACAACAATACTAACCCAATACGGCAATCTGGTACTAGCTTTTACTTGCCGGAGCCAGGAACTATACTACAGATGCTGGCACATACACTTGAGTAAAGAGGTGTACGTGTGTTAGTATTGATTTGGGTTGGGCATAGATCAAGATGCATTATTGCTAAACATCGATCCGAACAACCTATTGCTAAGCAGTGGGTAGTGCAAATCAAGGCTTCTTGTTAACGAGTATACTAAATCTGTTTATATCATAGAATATGATAAGAGATAAGAATTGGACAATAAAAGGTGATTTTGTTACTTTAAAGCACTTTCAGATAAGAAAGGAAGAGAGCGAAAGACCTGAAAGTATCTATCTCTCTTTTGGGTTGATAGCCACTTTCAAAACATTCGCAAAATAGTGCGAACTCGAGTGGCTCTAATTTGTCCGTGTATATTTTAAACTAGTAGTTGTTAGATTTTCAAATAAAGCGTCTTTATTGTATTCTGTCTCGCCAGCCTCGGAATCCGCAATTTCGGGCCAGAAAGCGAAGCTCGTCACTTTCTGCAAATAGCTTTGAAATTTCATGTTCGGCGAGTTGCAAAACTGACGTGCAACATTTAATAGGAACCAGTTCGTGATAGCTAGAATCTCCAGCTATATATGCAATTGAGCAAGTCTTCTAAGACCATTTATCATAAGATAAAATTGGTCGCTCTTAGATATTAATTTCGCCGATTGCCATATAAGGCAATTCTGTGGCAAAACCTGCATTTTATGTCCTTTTTTAGGATAATCATGTATAATCCATTCATTTATAACCCATTGCAAAAAGCGGTTAGATTGGCCGTTTTGCTATTCCTAGCCGGTTTGTTTATTCTCAACTGTCGAGCTGCAACATTACCAGATCAAAGCACAATTCCGCATATACCAGCCAATGCCGAGGGCACTGCCGAGCTCGATTCAGCCCAAAATGCTCCGCCCACTCTAGACAAACTTGCTACCACATTTAACTTCGAATGGGCCAAGGCCCGAGTTCAAGATATCACGGACCAAAAGCTTGAACCTTTATATTATAACCAGGTCTGTCAAATGAGCATTCCTGTTGGCTCATCAAATACCCAACAGTTCGAAGAGACAGGATTCTATACCCTAATATCCGGTGCTATATGCCAAGAACGGGCCATGCTGGTGGCTTCTTGTTTAGATAAGCTTTTAGAATCAAAAGACATATGTCCAGCTGATAAGAACATTCATATGTTATTAGACATTATTATGCTTTATACCTTCCTAATCCATGAGGAAAACGAAGATCGTCAGCACCCTCCTATTATACCAGATAGTATTCCAGAGTACCACACTCTCTTTATTGAACATTTTGCCAAACATATCTTAGATTGGGCCCCTGGCCCCAATGAACTAATTTGGGCTCTTGAGCAAACATGCCTCGATCAAAACACCTATACCAGTTGTGGCGGCAATAGAAAGAATTCTCATGATTTAGCGGTCAACCAGACAACCAGTTTCGCGGATGCCGAATATACTATTGTCCAAAATCAGCATTGTATTGATGTTTTGAAGCGATCTCCAGTCATTAACTACATCCACCCTCTAAACATAGCTCTTTATGTAAATGGGCTCAAATATATCTATGATGCTGAAACTAACATATTTGTTATAGTCCAACACAATCAAAGCACCCCAGGCCAACCCTCAACTAAACACATCACCCAAGACAACAAGTGTACCATTGAGGCCGCTACTCGCTTGATAAATGCAAGTATAGAAGATGGGTACACTATAATGGCATGCGATAAAGAGGCTAAAACTTTCAAAAAGATCTTAGGCCAGTATCGCAATCTTCGCGACTTCAAACAAATCTTTAAGCGAGACCCTACCAGACATGTTAAGTCATTTGCTGAGTATGATGTCTTAAAGGCTAAACGAGCAAACGAGGCAGATGAGCAACAGCGAGAGTTTCCCCCTGAATACTGCTACGAGCGCCGAAGTATAGCTTTGACCGCTTCTATTGCAATCATAGCGTTAGTTGAGGTTATTGCCATCACATTTTATGTCGCGTTTTCGGCTCTTGATCCGATAGTACCCCTACTGCCATTCAGCCTCATCGGGGCGGGGCTGGCTAGCTCTATACTCATGCTTTTCCATACCTCTCCATTGAGCAACGCCAGAGCTATGCATATGAAAGAGCGGCATTATGCATGCTTCGTCTTTCAAGGCGCGGCGGCTTTTGTTCTAGGAGGCACTGGAGTGTTGAATTTAGTTCACTGTTACCACTCACCGGGACAAAACGACATCTTTCCGTACATGTTAGCTCTCTACTTATCTGCAGCACTTGTCATTGCGGCTTGCTTTGTAATTCGACTTTGCCTTGGTCATAAAGTCCGGCTATTAACTCGGCATGTTTGCACACTACTGTACATTTCGTCGTTCTGTTTAATTGTAAGTGTACCTCTCTTGTGTGTCGGAGGATATACTTTACAAGCGAGGGCGTTTGCCCAGTCCCAAGTCTTATTGGTAGCAGCAATTCTCTTCGCCGCCGGGGCCTTCCTTGATGTTACGGGACAGTGGTTTGACCGAGAGGTTATTGATGTTATGAAAGAGCGTTCTATGTGCGCCAGAAAAGTCAAGGCGGTTAAGATCGCGGGTATTGCCATTATTCTAATTGTCGTGATCGGTGTGTCTATTTTAACAATATCTCGCCACAATCTACTGACCCCCAATGCCTCTGATCTCAAGCTCTGAGGCCAATCCCCTAACAATTCGCTACTAACCCAATACCAAGATTAGTTAGAATAAGATCTTGCCATATGAAGCTCGCGATTTAATCAAATACTACATCCGTATATAGCTATTATGCCATTTCATTCCATTCCACTCCACCCCATACCGCCACAAACCATCCACGGCTTATTTCATTTCAAAACACGCCAACTTACCATATCACTTTATGCCAACCCAATCCTAACATAATCCTAACATAATACCAACCCAATAAATCTATAATTGAGTCTAACCTAACACAATACTAGCCTAATGTTTATTGACTTCCTGCCAGTAGGGAGGTTATGTGTCCCCAGAATGCCAAGAGCTTCTCGCCCGGCTTGGCCTTAGCTACGGCTTTGCGCATGGTATCCTTGAACTGGTCTTGGGTCCGTTTGAGAGCATCTGGGCCGTTGTTAATTGGCGTGCCACTGACCACCAAATGGCCGTTGGTGAAGTTCTGAGTGAATGGAGGGATTCCCAAATTAGAGAACATGTTCTTCTGCTGGCTATCCAGCGGGTTCATTAAATCGCTGGAGGAGCCCATACCGTTTGCTGGTTTGGGAGTAGTCACTGGGGCAAAGAGCTTCTCTTTCTTCAGTGGTTGGTTGAGAGCATTGGGCGGCATTGGCATAGCAGGTGTGTTTGCTGGCGGCTGAGGGGACACAATCAGAGCAGTTGATGGGCGGAGCAGGGTGGACTCTTTCTTGAAAGACTCTTCTCGGCTCTTTTCCTTCTTCTCCCTTTCTTTCTCCTTCTTCTCTTGTTCCTTTTCCTTCTTCTCTCTCTCTTTATCCTTCTTCTCTCTCTCCTTCTCCTTCTTCTCACTCTTATCTAGGCCGGCTTTCTCCTTATCTAAACTTACCTCTTTCTTATCTAAAGCTTTTTCTTCCTTCTCAACAGTCTTCTCGGCTTTCTCAACAGTCTTCTTCTCCTCTTTAAATTCCTTCTTGACCATCTTCTTCAGGTCCTTGGCGGTCTTTTGGAGTTGCTTTTTGTTTTGTTGTTCGGCTTTCAGTTCGGCCTCAAGGGATTTCTTCTTTGCTTTAGTCTGTTCAAGCGCACCTTCGACTTTGTTAAGATTCTTAGAGGTACTGTTGATTTCTTTCTCGGCTGATGACTTCTTCTTCTTGAATATGGTGGTGTCTTCCTTGTAGATCTGGTGGCGGGTGTCAATGGCGGCCTTCTTGCCCTTTATCTGTTCAGTTGATACAGCAATGTTCTTTTCTATCTCACTAAGTTCCTTTTGCAGCTTCTCGATGCGCTTTTTGGTATCTTTTTGGTTCTTCTTGAATTCCTTGAGGATCTTTTCGTTACTGGCTATGGCTGCTTCTTCTTGTTTGAACGCGTTACTGGTAATAGATGTGTCCTTTATGTTGGGCTGGATCTTGACGGTCTTGCGAGAAGAAGTGGATTTCTTAGAGCTAGACTTAGAGTTGATATTGTCGCCAGCAAATAGGCCGGCGTGGGTTGGCTCGGGCGCAGCAACAATGGGTTGGTAGACAGTCACATATCGGTACTCAGTCACAGTAATAGTGTAGATGTCTGCACTCTTACGTGGCCGGGCTGCAATAGATGTTGTCTTTGCGGGTTTCATGCTCTTGACGGTCTCCGTAGCGACCTGAGTTATCTTGCGAACAGTAGCAGTATGGATTGCGTGTGTGCCGGTACTGACTGACTTGCCGGCACTAGCACTAGGATGGGCGCTCGCACTGGCATGCGTTTTGCTGGGTTTAGACGTGCTGCTTGGCTTCTGCTCGCTAACAGGGGCCGGCGAAGACCGGAAGAAGTCAAGAATGGAAGCGCCCATACTCTTTTTGGGATTCTCTTCTGGTGTATTCAAGGTGTACGAATCACTGCTCTTGGCTGAAAGAGAGACCTTGGCCTTCTCGGCCTTATCTTGAATGCTGATATCTTCTGTAGCAAACAAAGCATTTGCTAATACTCCGCGGAGCGCAATGACTAGGTATATCCATTGCATAGTTAATTAGTGCGGCGACTGACTTAAATGTCTAAGGATATTACATTGTTTTGAAATCAACCATACGCCATCTAGGCCTAAAACGTTTTATTTACTCGTTTTAATTGCCTTAATTGCCATAAGTGCGGGTTTATTTCATAATTGATTGACTCCTGGCTCGGTTTTATTTGGTCTGGTCTGTTTCGATTTGATTTAATTTGATATGATATGATTGTAAATGGATTCAAAATTATATATCCTAATTGTACTACTCAATCCCAACTCAATACTTAACCAAAACACACTCTATTAAAGAGATTCCTTAAGATATGTGTGGGCACCATTTATTGAGTAAATACAGTTGAGTTGGAATAAGATGGCGTTGGTATTGGGTTAGTATTCGTATTAGTTTAGTATTAGTATTAGTATTAGTATTAGTTTTGTACTAAGTAGTGAGTAGTACTAAGTAGTGTATACTAAGTAGTGAGTAGTATACTAGTAATCAAGTTGATCGTATTGGTATTGTACTGTGATAGTATTGTGATTTAGATTGGGTGGTGGTTGTATGTCAGCATTACACTAATCAATAGTGAATGTCTTTACTACAAGCACATCAGACCACCTAAACAAACTCAACCCAACCCCACTCAACCCAAACTCAACTCATCTTATTTCATGTTATTTAAACTAGATCTAGCTATAATAAAAGTAAAGAGAAGTCAAACCATTTCATTTTCAAATTTGTAGTGCTTGGGTTTAGTTTTTAATTATTGTGGTTAACTAGATTAGATAATAAAGCGGAATCAGTTTATTCTTCAGTGGTGGCGGGCAACAATAGCTGAACCATTGAACAGCACGTGGTTGACAGGACTTCCAGAATCAACCATGGGTGTGCAGGTGTTCAGACAGAAAGCGTTTTCACAAGGGCAGAGCTCTTCCGCAAAGGTAGTTGGCTCAATAGATATAGGAATGGTATGGTAGCCAACGGGCTGTTCCACAATGCACACTGAATCGGTAGTGCAGGTATGGTGGGTATGGTGGTGGTGGTGCCCGACAGTAGCAGCAGGTTGTAAGACCACGGTGGTTGTTCGGACAGAGACATTTTGAACTGTAGTCTGGATCACCTGAGGCGGTGCTATCTGTGTGGTTTGGATATGCGGAGCAGCTGTTACTGTTACTGGAACATGGACTGTAGTAGGAATGACTACTGGGCTGCTGTGCGTTAGAGTGATAGTTGAAAGCACTGTGGTGGCAATTGTTCTGGTTTGGTGGTTGGTGATAAAGGCCGGTGTAGGAACAGGAACATTGATGGTTTGCGTCTGGTAGTAGGTGACTGGAGTGGTAACATTGACTACTTGAGTCGTGTACATGGTAACGGGCTTGTTGATGTTGATTGTCTGCACATGGTGGAGAGTGGTTGGCTTTGGCACACAAATTGTTTGGGTATGCTGTTGAGTAACTGGCGGCTTTTCAACCTGAATGGTTTGCGTCTGTAGTTGAGTGATGGGTCTGTCTACAGGAACAGTTAATGTTTGGTACTGGACAACAGGTCGGTCAACACTGATGGTTTGGTACTGAGTAACTGGCCGGTCAACACTAATAGTTTGGTATTGAGTAACTGGCCGATCAACACTAATAGTTTGGGTAATTTGCTGAGTAATTACAGCAGTCCTAGGCAATAGCTGCGGGATTCTAATCTTGAAGTATCTAACTATATCCTGGCATGGATCCGCAACGCAATCGCCAGTTAATGGGTTATAAGTTGAAACAGGCAAAGGCCCCGCCTGGGTCGGCATAGGCATACTACTACTCACACTAGAAGTAGATGGTGATTCTGGCAGAGGAGCCACTGGTCCAACTGGCAACGTAGTAGGAAGCAAAGGACTATCAGAAACCACAGCTGTTGGCATAACCCCGCTTAAAGAACTAGAAGCGCTCAAAGATATACTTGAAGGCACACTTGAAGGCACACTTGAAGGCATACTTGAGGCCATTGGCATGTCGATTGAAGCACTTGAAGGAATGCCACTAGCCGGCACATCGGCCGAAGCCGAGGAATCCGCACCAGCAGAAGCAGAGGCATCCGCTCCGGCACTAGCTGAAGCACCAGTATCTGCCGGAGTATCAACACCTGTACTTGCACCAGCACCGGCACCAGCACTTGCACCAGCACTTGCATCGGCACCCGCAGAAGCAGAGGCATCCGCGCCAGCACTGGCATCAGCAGAAGAGCCAGCCGCGGCATCTGCGCTCGCTGAAGAATCAGCTGAAGCACTTGCACCCGCAGCAGCACCCGCAGTTGCAGCCCCGGCAGCGGCTCCAGCCGCCGCACCAGCAGAGGCATCAGCAGAGGCATCAGCAGAGGCATCAGCAGAGGCGCCGGCACTAGCTCCAGCCGATGCACTCGCAGAAGAAGTAGCACCAGAGCTCTGAAGCTGAGTTAAGACTTTACTGGCCGCTTGAGCCTGCGCTTTAGCCTCCGCAGAAGAAGTGTTTACTTGATAGAATCCTGTTTCAGTCAAGGTAGCTTTTTCCTTGATTTCAGCAGCGGATTTACAGCCACAATCAACTCCCTTAAACATTCCACTAGCATCAACCAGCTCACCATTGACTTTCGTCATTTTAAGCTTCCGCTCAGCATCCACAAAGCATCCACAGCCAGGATCAAAGTAAACAGCAATATTCACAATTGCAGTAGCATTAGCCACAGCCATTGCTTCTTTAACTCGAACAGAATCAACTCCCGTAATACCATAAACATCGGCCACTACACCCGTAGCGTTTAACCCCACACTAACACTTCTGGTTGCACTCACTAATCCTGACCTACTGCCACTTACCACCACACTCTTCGAAGGCGACAATGACACCGATTTCGCCGACAATCCAGCCGAGCGCGAAATTGAGCCCACCGACACCGACTTCAAAGAAGATGATTTCACCGAAGCAGACTTCACCGACACCGATTTCAAAGAAGACGATTTCAAAGAAGCAGATTTCACCGCACTAGATTTCAAAGAAGCAGACTTCACCGCACTAGATTTCAAAGAAACCGATTTTGGCGTCTTAGATTTCGCCACACTAGATTTAAGCGCACTAGATTTCACCGCACTAGATTTCACCGCCACAGATTTATCAGTCTTACTCTTACTCTTAAGACTAGACGTTGCAGCAAGTTTAGAACTAGTACTCTTACTGGGCTTAGACGACTTAGACGCCTTACTGGTCGATTTAGATGTTTTCTTAGCCGCCAACGAGGTAGTCAAGGCCTTAGCACTCTTAGTTGAAGCCGGCCCAAAAAGACCAAACAGCCCTCCACTCGGCTTACCCCGTCCACCCGTCGCCGTCGGACTAGCCCCTTTCGTACTAGTGGGAGTCTTAGCCTTACTGCTACTTTTACTCCCACCAAACAAACCCATCAACCCACCACTATCCTTAGAACTATCCGCCGGTTTACTACTACTACTCTTATCACTACCCGACTTACTATCTTTACTCGTCGCACTACTTGCATCACTCTTAGGCCCACTACTACTCTCCTTACTCTTCTCAGACTTACCTCCAGCCCCACCTACTCCACTCTTATCACTAGCCACTGGCTGGGTCACATACATATGCGTCACAAAAGGACTCCCCAAGAACATTCCTTCCTTCTCAGCCCCCACCACTAACAAGCACCCCAGCATAAGCACAATGCGATACTTCATAGGCAACAAACACCCTACCCCATTATAACCCCAAACTAAACCATAGCAAACAAACAACCATTTATTCAACTACTCTTCTCCTTCCAAGATCCAGTCAACAATACCCCAACAATCAAAGCAAACAGACCAACAAACTCACCAAAGACCAATAGTAAGAAGAAAGAGGAAAGAAACTTCTTCTGCTCAGCCGCCGTAAATGTAGCCGTCTCTACAATATCTCCTAAGCCAGTCGCCGCCCAGAATAGTCCAAAACCAGTCACTACCTGTCCAGCAAACCAAGCCATACACGTCTGAAAGTCCTTAGGAACCTCAGTCCTTTTACCCATAAAGAAGATCAAAGCAGCATAGAGGATCATAACCCCAATAAAACCAACTGGAATAATAGCTAACATAATGTCATTACGTACAGAAGCTGCCTTACAAACACCACGAGAAGCTTTACCTAACCCAATACTAACCCCAGCCAAAGCAGGCACCATTAAACAAATTGTACCAACTGGATATACCATATTTAGAATGAACTCCTTATCAACACCAGAAGTCTCTTGTACCATGTATAATTCTAAAAAAATCAAAGTTTTATAGGAAATGGCTATGTTTACATCTGAAATCAGAGCTATCTGTGCTGAAATGGTTGATTTAGCTCAAAGTGGGCATCCTGGAAGTGCCATGAGTTTAGTTCCGATAATGAATGTCCTTTTTAGGAAAATGTTGCGAATTTCAAAAGTTTATCCTAATTGGGAAAATCGTGATATTTTGATTTTATCTAACGGACATGCATGTCCAGTAGTTTATGCATACATGTATTTGTTGGGGTACTTGGAACATCAAGATTTACGGGAGTTTAGGCGGTTAGGGAGTAAGACACCGGGGCATCCTGAGGTAGGACCTGGAGTAGAAGCGGCAACGGGTCCTTTAGGCCAGGGTATTGGTCAGAGTGTAGGGTATGCATTGGCTTTGCGAAGTTTGCAGAGGTACAATCGCGAGGACTTGGAATTGTTTACTGGTCGAGTCTTCTGTATTGCTGGGGATGGATGTATGCAGGAGGGAGTGGCTTTTGAAGCACTGAGTTTGGCGGGGCATTTGGGGTTGAGTAATTTAGTGGTGGTTTATGATTGTAATCGGATTACAATTGATGGGAGTTTAGACTTATCTTCATCGGAGGACGTATGTGCGCGTATGAGTGCTTTGGGGTTTGTTGTTCGTAAAGTGGCTGATGGTGAGAATGAAGAGGAGATTGAGAAGGCTTTGCAGCCGGGCGGGGATAAGCCCGTTTTTGTCTTGTTGCATACGGTGATTGCTCAAGGAAGTTTACAAGCTGGGAGTAAGCAGACGCACGGGGCGCCTTTGGCTAAGGAGGACTTAAAGCAATTGAAAGCGGCGGCCCAGGTACCGGCGGGTGAGACTTTATGGTTCCCGGCGGCTTTGAAAGCCGAAATGGCCGAAGTAGCGACTAATCGGGTCGAACTCGTCAGGGAGTGGCAGAAGAAGTTAGTGGTGTACGAGGAAAAGTATCCTGAGTTGTACCGGGAGTTAATGACAGTGACAATTCCCGAGTTACCCGATTTAGAAACGACTGAGTGGCAGGCAGTTGCGAAGGAACAGCAGAGTTGGTGGGCGGCCCAGGCTACTCGAGTGCATTTGAAGCAAGCAATGGAGTTACTAGGTGGCCACCCGCGTATTCTAGGGGGATCAGCTGATTTGGCCAGTTCGACTCTATGCCGGCGTGATAAAGCGATAACCTTTACTGCTCAGGATAAGACAGGTCAATTTGTTAACTTTGGTGTGCGTGAGCATGGTATGTGTGCTATTCTTAGTGGAGTGGCTGGATTCGGGTGGCATTTTGGGTTTGGGTCGACTTTCTTGAACTTTATCAGTTATGGATTCCCGGCTCTAAGAATTGCTGCTATGTCGGGCCATTCCTTTGCTCTGTTTGGAACACACGATTCGGTGGGTTTGGGCGAGGACGGGCCTTCCCACCAGCCGGTCGAAATCTTGCCATTGCTACGAGCTACACCCGGTTTAATTACGTTTCGGCCGTGTAATGGCGTAGAGACTTTGTTTGCCGTGCATTTTGCTCTTTTCCAACGCGCCGCACCTTGTGTTCTGGCCTTAACCCGGCAAAAGATAGCGAGTGTCCCCAATACTTCTCTAAGTGGAGCAGCTCGAGGTGGATACATCATTAAGGATTATGAGCCGAGTAAAAGTGGCCAGCGCATTCTTTTGCTGGCAACGGGCTCAGAAGTTCCTTTAGTCTTAGCTGCACAGGACCTTCTACCGGAGTACAATATTCGGGTGGTATCTTTACTTTCATTTGAGTTATTTGGGCAACAAACAGCAGAGTACATTCAAGCAACTTTAGTTGGAGATGTTTCGATTAGTGTTGAGGCTTCTTCTACTTTTGGCTGGTCTAAATACGCGCAGTACCAAATTGGCATTGATACGTTTGGGTACAGTGCACCCGGGGCGGACATTATGGCACATTTCGGGTTCACGCCTCGACAGATTGCCGATCAGATCGTGCAATATGCCAATAAGCAGGCAAGTACTTAACTTGACCCCTCACTACCTAGTCGTCGTCAATAAACAACTAAGCCAAGTGGTCTAATTATGTTATCTAAACCAACACTAACTCAATCTTGACACAACAAACCCAATACTAACCCATTGTATTGATAAAGCATAGTTAAGATCTTACAGTTTATTTAAGTTATATATAGTTTTGATTTGAGATGGTATTTAGATGGTATTTGGATTAGTATTGCGATAGTATTTGGTTTGGTATTTGGTTATGTGGCACTTACTGAGTTATATCTAAGATAATGGTTTGGCTACGGGCGGAGGCAATAATAAATCAGTTGGATTATAATAGTGCATAAGTTCTGCACCATTCATACACAGCCGACTTTTAAGATTCAATAAAGTACTATTGCGTTCAGTTTGGTTTGATTTAGTTTATGTTCAGCTTAGTTTGGTTTAGTTTGGTTTATGTTTGGTTTATATTCAGTTTGGGTTAGCTTATGTTTGGTTTAGCATTACACTAACCCAAACCAATACTCTACTCTACTCTACTCAATTCAATCTAAACTTAACTCAACTCAATACAATCTAAACTAATCTAAACTATACTAACCCGAGCTTTTTCTTTTTTATGAACGACCCAAGTAACTATCATTGGACTGAAGATCTTTGCACAAATGAAGGTTTAGCCTTACTCTCGGCCGATCTTGCTAAACAACAAATCGGCCTGAAAGATAAAAATTCAGCTATCTACAAAAAACAACGAATGGGCAAACAAACCATCAGTTTTGATCTAACTTTAGATCTTCTTTTACCAAATACTACCCATCGTATCACCGGGTACACCAGTCTTTCCTCCCCAGAAGATCTTGATGACTTCCCCCAAAAATCTATCTTTCTATCTGCTATTGAACATATGAAACAAACTCTTCTTAGTACTACTACCTCTACTCAACCAACTTCTACCCCCACTTCCAATTCCACCTCCACTCATCTAAATACTACCCATACTCAACTACTCACTAAAACTGCTAAGAAAGCCACTACTGAGAAGTACACCCAAACCTTTACTCTTTCCACGCCTATAGATCATGCCATTCATCTTCTCTTCACTCCTAATCTAGTCTCTTCCTGGAGTGCCGGTCAAATCCAACCTACTCCTTCTACTGCTAACTCTTTTACCTATACCCATCCAGCCTTAATTATATCCCAACTCACTCCACCCCAACTAACCACTCCAACTACTCCAGTAACAATCACCACTACCGGCCAACTTCATAACCTTCCCTCTTTCCCTCTTACTATCACTCTTACTCCAGTCCAAACTACCACCGAGATATCCTTTTCCTCTCCTTCTATCCCCATTGGTACTTCCAACCGACTAACCGCCCTATTTACCTCCCTCTACTTCCAACCCCTTCATCAAGCCTTCCGCATTCCCTTCACTAACTCCACCCCTAACTAACTCAATAACATCTTACTAATATATTTACTTACTCATTTAGTTACTCATTTAGTTACTCATTTAGTTATTTATCTACTACTTACTCATTTAGTTACTTATTTACCTACTTACTCATCTACTTACTCATTTACTTATCTACTACTTACTCATATACTAACTTATCTACTTACTCATTACTTTACTAACCACAACTTAGTCAAAATCAAAACTAAAGCAAAAGTCTAAATCTCATCTAACCCCACACCAACCCAACTCAACACCAACTCAATACCAACGCAACGCAACGCAACACCACACCACACCACACTAACTCAACTCAATCTCAATTATGACGTCATAAGTAACCCATTTATTTTTAATTTTTCACTACCCTTGATGCAGATATTCGTCAAGACACTAACTGGTAAGACAATTACCCTTGAGGTAGAACAATCAGATACAATAGAGAATGTTAAGGCAAAAATTCAAGATAAGG